GGTGCTGAAAAGAAAAAAAAGACCTACTGTTGCATGCACAACTAACTACTCTCTCACACATATGAATTATTTGTTAAGAAATTACGATCAGGGAGAATATAAGGAGCAAGTGCCCTTTTGTAGACCTTAAACCTTGAGTGCAGTTTTGTGGACCTTAAGCCATGAGTGCAGTTTGTTGTAACTCCCACAAGAGCACAATTAGCCATTTGTATGCTTCTGACAAGTACAGGTACAGTATTGCCACTAGTATGCCACATGGAGCTCATAAAACAAAACCTAAAGTTAATTATTAATCAAAGCCAGTAAATATGTGTTCTGCTTTAATATGGCAATGCTGGTACATAGACTCTTTAGCTAAGAGACACTTTAAAAAAGGAGTAATGATTACAATCATACCAGCTGTTTCCATCAGTGGTGTTAGAATCCACAATATGCTAGTCAGCACTATGTTAGCAAATGACATAGCAACAGTTCAGAGCTGGGACTTCATTTATTGCAAGACTCAGTAAAATAATTAGCCTCTATAGAAACGTCTTATTGTTACAGATATAGAGTTGGAGGAGGTCATCATTACACTGGAAGGAGAAAAAACAGTGACAGTGAATTACAAGTGTCACTGTCTCTAAAGAGGCTCAGTTATGTATGTGTGGAGAAATGCGGACCAAATTTGGAGTGGGAAAGGTTGTCTTCTCTTAGGTAGTTCATTCTCCAGTATCCATATCCTGTGTCTTCACCCCCCTGCTCCCATCTGCCTATCTATTTGAATTGTAAGTTCTCCTGGGCAGGGTCCATCTGTTGCAGTCAGTCTGCAACTCTGAGACCTGGTTCTGCATCATGCTTTCACATATTGCTATGATATAAATAATAGACAACTTAATCTCCCGGGCTTTCAGTCTTGACACTTCACCAGCACTAAATCCACTGCCTGTACGAATTTAAAATCCTTAAATTGTAATTTATACAACTGATGGCTTTGAAAACTTTTATTCAGGGGATCAAAGGAAGTTTAACAAGGTAAAATATCGAATAGAGGAGCCGTGAAGATCCTTTGTTGGGCATATCCATCTTAAATGTGACACTGTTCAAAGTTCCACAGTACAGTAAGTGATTTTGATTTAAAGTAACTTTATTATGAACTACTGGCAAGATCATTCTTACTGTATTTGGTTGGCAATCTAAGAGAAATTAATCTGCAGGGATTATTCCTCAAGCAAACTAATGGATAAYGAATGAGACTACTACATTGGGGAAGAATAATTAAAAGTGGCTTCAGAAATACACCACAAAGTCTTCAGACACTTTGATCTCTCTGGCCATAAAAAGTTACCAATCCAGTTGCTACTGGCTGAAGCAAACCTACTGTTCAGTAGAATATAATTGTGCTAACTGCATGGGCCCTTCACTTCGGTCTTCTCTAGCCTTAGCTACTGCAGTGCTCAATTTAATGGAAAATCACCAAAAAACTCAACCTGTAACTAGACCCAAAAGCCTGTTGGAAAGTGCAACAACAGCTCTCCCCTTCTTCTTTCCCCCCATTTTTCTCATTCAACAGTTTACAAAAAGTCCCCTCCAAATCCATAAACCACCCAAACTTCTGAAAGCACTTAGAGCATTGCTAGTACATCAGAGAGCAGGACTGACCAGAACATTTGCATCAATTCCTAGCAAATCCTGCTGACTCAAGCACTTTAGATAGGAAACTCAGTTTGCATTTGTTGAGTATGGTGAGAGATCAAAAAAATCAGACAACTCTAGAGATTTTATTGTGAAATGTGTTCTGTCCTTTTGTGCTGCAATGYTTGTCTAATATGTAGTTTGTCTAACATGTACGCAATGTTTGTCTAACTGCTATGTTTGTCTAATACCTGAGTATCCATGGTATTTGATTATGGCAATTATATGATAAATTTCAGGAGAGAAATATTCCACAAAAAAAAGATCAAATAAAACAAGCTTTTCTTGCTAAATTTATGATTTATGTTCAATATTTCTTCCCACTACAATCTCTCAGAAAGAAAGGGCTAAATATGATGCCATTTTAGTTGACCTGCTCAACAACAACAACAAAAATAGCCAAGGAAACACTTTCAGCTTAGAATTCCTGTAACCTTTCCTAGGAGCTTCAGACAAGTTAAGCATTCCACCATGGTCAGTTACATAAACTGCCCCTGAAGACCCTGAGATGAGCAGAGCAAGAACTTTGACATGGAAACAGTGTCATGGGAAACAGACCTGAGAAGAGAGATTCTTACTCAACTAAAGCCAGAATCAGAAACACAGCCCATACTGTCCAAATCTAGACTGCTGTTTAAAAGTCAGGCAGGCCTTCCTGCCAGCTTACCTACTGCTGTAATGGCCTCAAATGGATCTTCTGTCTACTTCAGTTGTTGACAGGGAACAGTGCCAGTACCTCTGGTACCTCTGCTTCAGATCAGTTCTCTACTGTACAGTGGCTTTTAAAATTCATTGCAAGCCCTCTGTTTTTTATGCCACAACTAAAATTCTTGCTGGTTCATGGTGCCAAGCTCAGTGATCTAATAAAGATAGGCTTTGCATTATGTACTTATAATGTGGAATTAGTCATAGTGGCAGTTTYGAGGGCACATTTACTTCTACAGTCTCATTTTTAATTTATGAATCTGTCTTGTCTTTCACAGCTAGCATTTTTCTCACTAATGCTTCCAGTTCCACAGGTTTAYTCATCCAAAGAATTTCTGACAACAAAAATATGATCCTGTGGTCTGTCATAAGGACGGTTGCTGATATTGATTCATCATTGCTTTTTCAGTACTGGTCCCTTTGGATACTACACAGCAAGCAGTTCTCAAATCCTCCTTCACTTCCCTCCTCCAGCATAGATGAACAGTGCGAGCATTGAGCCAAAGCAGAATTTATCCTAGTGCACTTTTTGTCCTCTCGATCATTACTGCACAGACGCTTTCTCCTCCCACTTCTGTTTYGCCAGCTGCACTGACTGTTCATGAGCGAGTAACATGGGAATGAGCAGAGCTTCCTACAATTTCTGCTGAAGCATCTGATGCTCTAAACTTCAGTTAGTTAGTGCACCTCATATTGCCAGCTCTTCCATCAAATATCAGCATTGCAGCGTGCTCTGATTTCAAGAAATAAATACTGTACTTGTTGTCTTGCTCCTCACACAACACAGCTGTGACTTCAGGCTCCTTTGCCCAATGAAAGGAATTATAAGAGAAAGCTAAAAGTATCATTTTATTTGTGCTGAGCGGTGCAGAGGATGGTTGGTTGTTGTCACTCAGATGGGTAACAGGCGTTAACAAGCTGAACAGTCAGCGGGTGAACACTGCCGAGTGTGCTGACAGCACTTGAAGTGCACTTTATTTGTTCACCTAGGCAGAGGAAATCTCCAGGAACTTCTGGATCCAGTTTTGCTCTATTCAACATCAATTGGAGTTTTGTCATTGACTTTAATAGGCATTGGATCAGCCTTTAAGTACTGCGTAAGTGGCAGACACAGGAGAAATTGAGACTAAGTGGGCAAAAGGTGTCTTGTCTGTGTTTATTTTTCTTTGCCAATGAATAGGTACTGATGAATTTAATTCTCAATCTCATCATTGAAATGGAGATCTAATACTTTGAGAAAACTACCTGCAAGGGCCAACGTAGTTTCACTGTAATGCTAGTTTGCTCTACCAGMATTTAGGACCTTGACTTCTGAAGTAGAACTATGGTAGAATTCAGACATGCAAATTTAAAATTGGCATCCAGAAAAGTCTCGCTTAGCTGTTATCCTAATTCTAGAATTTTCTATGCTTTACTTTGAAATACTCAAGATAATGGAAACTTCTTTTCCATGCAAAACTATAAAAGACCATGTGGTGGTCTTTGGCAGGGTACTTATCTCATAGCTATACTTGGCTGACTGCCCTCGCCATCCAGAAGCATCTTTTAGTATGTGTGTCCATATCATCTATCTGCGTCACTTGGTGTAGCAGGCACTGACAGACCACGCTGCACACTTGTTGGGCTGGATTTCAAGAGAAAGGAAAAAGGAAGCCTGGCAGATGGTTTCTTGTAGTTTCTGGCTATTTGAAGTTCAAGAACTATCTGACTTTTCTTGCTGAAAATACTTTTGTGAGCATAAATGAATTTGTTGGGCCAGGAAGAGTCCTGGAACATAGGTACGATTGTATCAAAACGATGGGTGCCACCATTTACATCATGGGCTCGAACATCTCCCCTTAGGATCTCCAGCGTTCATTAGACACAAACAAACTTTTTTTTTTTCTGCTGGTGTCCTACACCCTCTTGAAATCTTGGCCACTGCAGTGACATGTACTATCACTGCCTTTCCAGTCCAAAGGATCACAAATGATTTGCTGTAAATCAGCTTCCACAAGATGAATGGAAGCTATGTGCTACAGGCCAGAAAATAAAATGTATTCTGAAGGGGGGCACACCCTTATCGAAAGCACAGGGTCAACATCCTTGAGTAGARAGTTAATGATGACCTCCATAAATTTTTGAAGGTAGAAGGTATCTGCTAACACTGGAGCCAAATGTGCCATCATTTGACAAAAATGGTAGGTACTCACAATCAAAGAGTAGTCCCAGTCACAAGCCTCACATCAGAAAAGAGACTGCTGCCRACTGCAAGCAGACAGGGAAGTCAGGAGATTTACGGCCAACCTGGTCTATCCCTTGTGCATGTGTCCTGACCTCAACAGCAGCATTGCTGCTGCAAGGGCCGCCATAGACCCGGTGTGAGCAGAAGCCACGAGCCAGCGAGGGCCGCTCCCAGTCGGCTCCAGCTGCCATCCTAACGGTCGTTTGTAACGGCCGGTAACGGTCGCCGCGCGCCCCAGCGGCAGCCAATCAGGGGGCGGCGGGGGCCGCCGCCCGGGCAGAGCAGGTAAAGGGCGGCGGGGGCGGCCGCGGCCCCCCGGGCAGGAGCTGCCGCTGGGCCGGCAGCGCCGGCGGCTCCGCGCGAACCGGCACCGGCCGCAGCGGAACCGCCGCGTGGCGGTGCCGAGGAACGGCGGCGTGGGCAGCGCCTCCAGCCGCCCCTGTGCGGCGTGGGGCCAGGGTGAGTGCGGGGAGAGCTTTGCGTTTGCTTTTATCCTTCTTGGAAAAGCCGAGACTAAAAGTTTACTTTGYGCTGCTCAGAACCGAATGCCCCTACCTGCTGTGCCAACCTTTACAGCTTCAGGTAGTGTGTGCTGACTTGGCACTCCCACAAGGAAAAGTGTGTTATGGGAATCACTTAATTTGGGAAAAGGGGGATGCATTTAACGTTAGGAAGTAAAATTGATGAAGTAGGCAAATACTTGTGTGTGTGAACCTGCCCCAGGGCTTGCCAAAGTTACTGGTAAAAATGATAGTTGTGGAGCTTTCCATTTATTTATTTTAATTTCACTCTATGGCAGCTATTTTTGGGCCACAACTGAAGTGTGAGAGTGCTGAAATTTGGCTTTTGCCGTTTTGGGGCCTGTGGGGACATCAGTTGTTTCTAATCCAGCAAATGTGGCTTGTGCAACAACAAGGATTCTGTCGTCTGCGAGATGAAGGAGCCCTGCGAGTAGGAGATAAACTAATAAGAGAAACGCCCAGCTTCAATGGATCACTGAGAGATAACCCCAAAAAGCATCTCTAGCCYGATGTCCCTAGCCATAAGTACAGAACCAGGGTCATGTGTTGGAGGAGATGCTTTAGTTGGAAGAGAAGCGGATATGCTGGGATATACTGGAGTATATTGGGAGAGGTGCTGGGATCTGCTGGCCATAGAGGAGCATGGCAGAGGAGTCTTGTGCAGAGAGCAAATCCTTTGGGCCGCGGCCACCTCTGAGTTCACCACTGACTTGCTCTAAATGATTGCAGGCTTTTCCAAGTGTCTCTGCCCAGCCATTGGGGGAAAAACACTCTATGCACCGAGTTCTGGGAGACCTCTGTCTGTAGAGTGTTTTTTAGGCTGTGTTTTAATGATTGCTCTTTCTTAAGCTTGGCATGGCAAATGGAAATAGACTGCTGATACTGCGATAACAAATATGATTGTGTATTTCCAGCTTGCAGATTAGAGGAGGATAAAAGCACTGTCTAGTCAGAAAAGACCTGAAGCCTCTATTTCAGCATGTAGACTTCTGACTATCTGTCAGGCACTTTATTCCTTTGCTTGACTCTCTCTCATTCTCTCATTTTTTTTCTGTTCAATAACTGGTACTGGTTGCAGTCAGTACACTGGACTAGCAGGACTGCTCATCTTTCAGTGTTTGGTGTTCCCTAAAAGTGATATAACCTCTGTATAACTGAAGAAACTGGGTTGCTGGAGTAGAGGTATATTAGCAGGGCAGGCTAATTAAGCTTATAAAAATCCAACTATTTGCTACTTAGAAAATTAATTTGATTTTTTTTCCGGTGTAAAGCATCTGTAACAGGTCTAATGTAGGGTAGATATGTGGTATGTAAAATGAGGAGTATGGATAACAAGAAGGTGCAGTTAGTTGCTGATGTGAGAGGAAAAGTAAATAAGAGACAAATGAATAAATTGTGGTTTCTTCACAAGCTGTGGGTCGGACGGTAGGGGCTGCATTATTTCGTGTTTTTTCTTTTTTTTTTTTTTTTATGGTTCTTTATTTCAAGGCCTCATTTGTTAAGGCAACACAGAAAGTAGTTGACATCCCCTGTATTACTTTGAAAAAGCTTGGAGAATCAGTCTGCCRAAGGAAGAGTTGCCTTTTTCAAGACTATAAAGGGCTGTCGCTCTGAACTGTGGAAGAGCTTTAGCTGAAAGCATTAGCAGTTACTGATAGCTTCTGTTTGAAGGCACTTGACATCTTTGCATAGTCCTGCCATGTTTATTTTGGCAGCTTAATGGATTTTAATCAATGACTGAGCTACTTACTTGAAGCTGTGACTGCTTCAGAGATAACAAGATAAATATGTATATCGCTTTCTTTAAACTGTAAGTTAAAGTGTTGCATCTGRAAATGACAATGTTCATTAAAATGCGAAGATAAGCTTGGCTATTAAATAAGTGAAATATAGACTAAAACTTTCAAGGTTTCACATAAAAGATTGTTTCAAGTTATGTCTTACAAATGTGATGTAGCCACCAAACTGAATAATGTTTAGTTTTCAGCTTGCTAATAGTTTTGTGAAAATTAACTTTAGGGTAGTATGGGATTTATCTTGCTGTGTATCTCTGAGCTATGATTGCTTCACTCGGCAAGCTTGTGGAGACCACATCAACCTAATTGATGAAATTAAAAATCTGTAATGACGTCACCCTAGAGAGGTATTAGAACAACTTATTCCAAGTTGGAATTGGAATAGACAAATTATTATTAAATAAATCAAAATTTATCAGGGAAATACCTAGTTGTGAAGCAAGTGTTGAACAAAAGTTAAGCTTGTGATTAAGGAAAGAACAACTGACCTGAAACAAATTTCACATCACCCTTAGAAGTGACTTCAGCTGCAGTTGAGATGCATATATCCGTGCTTGTGCGCTCTAAACAGTTTGCTCTGGATTCTGGATTGCATGTATCTTAATTAGCTGCAGCAGTATGAACTCAGCTTACAAAAGTGAGGTAACATCCAGTTTTTGTCTGCGTTGTTCCTCATTTGATATGAGCTTGACTGCTTTCTGCGCTCCTAYTGGTGTTTCTTGTTCCTTTCTAAATTCATTTTGCGTAGTCCTTGGCTGTCACAAGGGGAGATTAATGGCTGGTGCCCATCCTCCTGTCATAATATGAAGGATAGTCATGAGTGTGGACTGATTTCACCCATTGTTCTGTTCTTAAAAAAAAATATACATATATATATTTGTCAATAAAACAGATACAAGGAAAATCATTTGGTACTGGCATTATGAGCTGATTCATCTTCACCAAGAAACTGACTGGAAAGAATATGAAGCAAAACAATCGGTTCCTGTGATGTAACTTTAGTAGTGTAACAAGTATGTAACTTTAGTAGTGGAGGTAGTGGAACAGATTGGGCCAGACAATATTGAAACTACATGCACAAGCAAATTAAAGAATGTATTCAGTTGTAAGAACATAAAATTATAGCCCTTGCAGAAGGACTCTGAATTAATATAATCAGTAATAAACAACTATTTTTCCAGAGCCTTTTACTGGTCTGCCAGGTCCTGCAGTGATTACTATTCCTAATTTAAAAGTCAAACAAACAGTATTTATCCAGTTATGGAAGCAAAGTGACTAACCTCACAGCTCTACAAAAGGACAGAGGACAGAACTGCTTCAAAATAACAGAGCAATCTAGGGATATTGCTTCTAGATTGGAGAGCAAATATGTACAAACAGTAGATGGGACCAAACCATGGAGAGTGTGGGGCATCCCTCTACTTCCAGAAGGAGTTGGGGAATAGGGTAGGTATTCTCCCTAAAGCCAGGGAGTGACATTTCCCACGTATCCCAATAATTGTACCAAAAGTCTCACCCAAAAGCTTTTCTACTATCAAAAATTTTACACAACTGAAACAGTCATGGAGAAAAGTTTGGTTTCAACCAGCTTTTATCACTGTTTAATATAATTTTAATAAAAACTATTGTGTTTTTTTTACTCTTTCCAATAGTTCGGTTTTCTTTGCAAAGTCATCTCTATTTCTTTTGTCAAACACWTTTTGCCTGAGTTATTTCACTAGCTGTCAAATAATGGATAATAATGGTAAAATAGTATTTCCATTCACAGGATTGCCAAGATGTACATATTTTGAATCATAAGAGACGGAACAGTGCTACAACCAGCTTAATTGCCAAGCTTGCTTGAAGCAGCAGGTCAGTGTTGATTGCGCCCCATTCTGGTACATTTCATCTATAATGATGCTGGTGACTACTGCCAGGCTAGAACAGAGCAATAGTTTACTATTTTATTGTGAAGTTTACTGTYTTATTGTAAAACTTTTCAGTTATACATCTTGTGGCTTAAAAAGAAGTTGCCATTTAAATACAATTTATCTTGAGGCAAAAGTGAACTGATGAACCTTGGGAGAGCATTTTTAGTCCTACTTTTGGTTGCTGTTCTTTACAACTTGAAACTGGACATTCTTGTAATTCTGTGTTAATAATTTATTCATATACAAATTTGACAACCTTTCCATCCTTGTGCCCTCCTTCTCCTTTCCTTCCACCCCTGGAAAAAAAAATGCTGAAACAACCTTCATGATGACAAGTGGTCAAAACCTGGTTTGTATGTAGCCTGTGTGATGTGTGTCCCCTAGTGAGGGGGCATTGATTTATTATGAATTACAGTGATGCCACCTACTGTTTAAAAACTGCCACGTTGTTGCTTCTCTGAGATGCGTTTGTGTTCATGGAAAACTCAGAGTGGGAGGGTAGTCTCCAAGCAGAGGATCCATGATCCTGTCCAGCAGAAGGTGATAGAAATTGCCATGCCTTATTTTGTTCCCTTTATGGAACTTTAACTTGCTTATAGCTATGTGTATTATATTGTGTAATAGCTATTAGCTTTATAGCATGGGTCCTTTGTTACAGCAAGAACAGGTCAGWGTTTAGCATGTTTTCTGTCTTGTAGATCATCATACTGCTTTTTCAGGTCCAATGTTAGCCAGGGGAGATGGATGGCATAGTATGACAAGCAAGCACAGATGACCAAGCTGATGAGCCAGCCCTGGCAGACACAGTCAGACTTATCAGTCCAATTTGAGGGACATGACAGGTGATTTCAAAAATTGATTGATGCCCAGTTCACCTAGCAATGTTCCAAAACTCTAGTGCTGTGTTGGATCCCATTTTATGGTAGCCATGCATGCATTGCCTAACTGCCTTTCCTGAGCTGAGGTTTGAAAATATGATTTTCCAGGGGCTATTCCAATGAGCTGTTGGTAGGTTTGCTTTCATGGGACCTGGACACATGATAGGAATCCCCTTGACTGGTTCCATAGTATTCAAGTTCTTCAAGGTCACAGGCTCCTTTTTGTGCCAAAGGTTAATCATGAAAGTGTAGAATAGTTTTGGCAGAAATCSATATTTTTCATTAAGGAAAGCTAACAATATTGATGGCAAATAGTGCTAAGTAGTCTAGCAGRATCTGACAGTGTGATTCTTAACCATGTGAATATAAGATGAATAATTATCTCATACAACTATGAGAGATATAATATCTCATATAATTGGGGTTCCTGTCCAGACTTCCAAAAGCCAGGGACAACTGAAATTAATTTTGGTGTACCAGGGGTTAAGAACTTATATACGAGTTTTGATTTCAGGGAGGTTTTAGATGTACATATCTGAAGAAATTTTAATTTCAGCCATGAAGTTTGAGTCAAATGTTACTGGCATATGTTATAACCGGGAAAATAACCATTAGAAAGATAATGATGATGGTTTCGTAAACATCTTGGATATTGCTAATCAAGAATTGAACAATTCAGGTGTTAGTCTTTCAGCTTGTCTGGGCTTCACCAGGTTTTTATTTGAATTCCTTTTTAACTGAAACTAGAATTTCAATTGTAAGTGATTTCGGATAGCTTCACAGTTCGCCAATAATAAATGGAAAAATATGCAAGCAAATCATCATTAAAATGTTGAAAGAACAAATTCTCCTACGGAGTTTTGGAACAACAGACAGATAATTTATATGTTATCTAGGATGCGGGTCTGTTCTGCAGAGAAATAGCATCAGAAACAGTGAATAAGCTTTGGGAGTGCAAAGATGAATGCAAAGAACAGAGCAGTACATACTTRCCACCTAAGATCAACCCTGATTACCCTTCAGGAGAACAGGTGAAAGAGCTGTATGGATTTTTTTTTTATTTCCTTCATGTTCAACAATGTTTTTTTCACTCCCTTCAAGTTTGTGTTTAGTGCTGAAGTTTTAACTGAGTGAGTAGAAGAAGTTGAAGAGCAATGGAAAACTACTTCTCAATTTGATATTTAGTTAAGCAGTGCTTGCTAGMAAAGAGAATTTGGGCTTCCCAAACTGCTTAAAAGACTATTTAGATTTTTTCCCCTTTTTAATGCTATAGAAGGAGAAAGTGTCGTGATCACTCTGAAGTGATCGCAAAATGGAGTGTTTTGCTCTGGCTAATGAAATACTTCTTCTGTTACAGTGAGAAATAAAAGCACCAGAAATTGATTTCTAGTATTTCCTGTGTAATTTAAGTGATAGACTAGGATGCAGAACATTTCAGTCTATAACTCTTCACCTACTCTAAGATGTTTTACTGAGAAGGGGCAAGAGACTAAGTGCATTGAACTCATCATTTAAATGAATGTTTATGAATATACTCTTCTATGCGTTTATTAAAAGGCTGCACTAACTAGTGTTTTTAAAAAAATGTTTTTTATACTTTGCCTTTTCTCTTAATATTCCTTCCTAACAATGAGATAATGTGGTTAATATGAATCTATCCTTAATTGTCTCTATAGAGCTTTTATCGATTAAATATAATATCTAAATTTGTGGCCTTCCTTATTTGGTGATAACTTGCATATGAACCAGATAGGAATCGCAGTATCTTATGCAGAGTATCTTGTGGAAGAATGTCTCATCTTTGTCTCATCATTTGTTTGCAATACTCTTTTTTTGACTTTCTTATGAAACAAGGGCCAATAAATGTGGATCAGCWGAAACCTGAAGTGCACAAAAATGTATTTGTTTATGATTTATGACTCCTTATGGTCTGCTTCTGCACTCCTCACTTGAACATAAAAAGTGGAAACAGATTCTTCTGAATAACAGCTGCAGAGCTGAACCTTATGTTTGTCTTGCATTTAAACAGAACTGCGCTAAATCTCATTTGTATATATGAAACATGAAATGAGCCTGTACAAACTGTTACAGTTCACAGGCTGGRTTTGCTGGTGCGTGCTGGATGCTCAACAGCATTTTAATAATGCCATTAAAACCATATTTAAAGCTCTTCTGTGTCATGGGAATGGCATGCAAGTGGGTAGAGCACATTAGTCACTTTATTTCTTTTGTGGAGCTGTTTGAGTGAAAGACATGTTAGTCCAGCAGACATCTTAGCAAAAAGACCATACCTGGTATGATTACTCAAAGCTTGATTTCTGAGTGTTTGGCCTGCACACATTATTTACGTGAAAAGTACAGTCCAGTCCTGTAATTACAGCAACAAATGTATTCGATATGACTGGGAGAGAAAGCAGAACAACTTTTAAGAATTCTAATCTCTGAACCTTAGGAGTGGTTAGGCTGCAGAAAACACTGTTTTCATGAGCTTGTCCTTCCCAAAATTGTTCTTTTTCATGTTTGTCAGTTCAGCTAATGAAAAATACTCTCTCCAAATAAATGTTGCTTCATATTAAACTGATGACGTTGTAGAACAGTTTTCAGATCTTTTTCTGAAAACATCAAAGTTTTCCATTGCTGAATTTTTGGTATTCCCATTACATCACTGGAATTTTTCTCTTTTTGCAAACTGCACAGCCACTGAGCAAGTCTTGCAGAAGTAAATGCTCTACAATATTAAAAGTAAAGTTGAGTTGAACAGGAATCTGACAGTGAAAGAGCCCTGGAGTACCACATCTCTGCAAGGTAGCCTGGAAAGTAGGARTGCAGATTTAAGAAGATTGTATACCAGTGACTTAAAGAGCCACCTTTCACAAGCCACTGCTATTGAGCACTGTTTCTGAGCAGGTGAWCTATTTAAGAAAAAAAAAAATGCACAGTTAAAGGCTAAAGGGTATTTTCTTGYCAGAGGCTTATCAGAAAAATAACCTTATCTTTCCCAAGAGAAGAAAGTCCTGTACTATCAGTTCAGGAAAACAGTGGTGACTGCTGATCTCCTTGTAATTACCCATTTATTCCTAAAGAAGTCCTACCTTTTTTGTTCTGTTGTGGGTACACTGAAGGCTGCCCAAGAGGAACTGAGAAGCAGAAGGACCACAGGATCCTTAAGAAGGAAAGTCTTCTACTACCACCAAACATATCCTAAATTAAGAAAGAAAAAATGAGAGAGAAGACTATGACTATGCAATATTCTAAGTGCAATACAGATAACAGTTGCCCATGGAAAATATTAGAAATTCCTTATGCAGTAAGAGGGCAGTGTTTTGTCCACTGATGAGCACATCCGAGCACTGCAATTTCATCTGTTATTGTGTGCCCAATTTGTCATCTTTGCATTAAATGTTCATTAGAAAAGCCTAAGTGGGAATCAAGTTCTTTCCTAAGAAAGAACTTTCACTTAATGTGAAAATGCATCTGCTCCATTTGCTATCTTGGCAGTCAGTTAGCACATACCTAGGAAACTATCACAGTCGTGGCAATGAGGTTGGCAATGTTTGTTATTAGGTTTGCTGAAGTTTTTCCTATTTAATTATTAAAAAAGCCGTGAGGAGCAGAAGTGTGCTAACTGGGAATCAATCTTCTGTTTCCACACTATGTATTACTGGGATTATTCTGACCAAAGGAAAGTAGAGAAACAGGTAAAGGACTAAGGTGTCTCCACGGGAACCAATTCTTTCCCCTCTGAGCAGCTTTCACTTCTTTCCTGTTGCAACTAAATTATTATCAACAATTATTCCTTGCTTTACGTCGCTTATTGTGTGATAAAGTGGAAGTAAGCCTGGGATTTGAGGTGTTCAGTCCTCTTAACCTGCTCCAAGATAACTGGTAGACATAGCTGTGCTGAAGAGGACAAAAGCCATGTAGGTGTAGACATAACTGAAGTCTGCAAGGTCAATATTCAGTTGAAATAATGCCATTCCTCAGAGAGAGGCTTGATAGCTTTTTCTCTTTGAAAAAAAATCAGATGAAAAAATCTGATCTTCATCTATACCAGGCTAAAAATATGTCTGATGTCATTAATGTATAAATTTTATTGCAATATTACAAATATTATTTGCTTTTATTTTTGTAGAGACACACTGTTTAAGTAAAACACAAAATATGGCTTTTCTAATTCCACCTCTGAGGAGTAAACTTGTCTAGTTATTGTCATTTGAGAGCTCCAGGTTGTTAGGATTTTCCCAGTGTGCTTTTATGTTGGAAAAGTTGCATTTGTTGCCTACTCACTATGCGAACTTTGCTTGCTCTGCTGTTACAGCAATTTACACTTGCGGAATAGTGCCTGATTCTCTATGTGCACGACAAATCTCACAGCTCTGGCCCAGCTTGGATATCTTTAAAAAAAAAAAAAAAAAAAAAAAAAAAAAAACAGCATGTACAGTTGTCCATAAATCTCATTACTGTTAATTAGTTCTATTATGGTACTGTCTAAAGTTCCCAGCTGTGAATGTGGCACTCCTTATTTTAGGCATTGGGTAAGCACGTCAGCAGCAGCCCATAAATAAACACACTTTGTGTCTAGAAAGAAAAGCAGACAAAGGGAGAGAGAGGAAACAAAGGCCTAAACAATACAAGTAATTTACTCAAAGTGTCATAAATGGTTGTGGCAGATGCATATGGTATCAGAATCTACATCTCCTGACTTAATTTGGTGCCTCATCTATTAGCATTTCTTCATGTAACTTATGCAGAGCACGTTAATGCCTAATCTTTCATGGTGGAGGTCTCTGCATACGTGGTTCTTTCATTGCTCAATCTCTTCTGTGCTTCGTACACTGGAAAATATTGGGCTGGGTATCTCCACTTCAGCTGCAATCCCTAGAGTACAACTTTTTCTTCTCTAGGAATATCACTTATATCAGCATATCTCTCTGTCAACAAATGATCAAGGATATTTTTAAAAGTCCTACCAACCATGCAGTCTTCTGCACTGTTAACCTTAATTTAGAAACTCATGTACCAGAGTTAGTAAATGAGACTTGTCCCCCTAAAATTGACCCCTGAGATGCTTCCACAGCATTGGATTCTTGTTATGCATATGGCCAATACAAAGCTGTGAAACTATATTAAAAAAAAAAATTGCATGAGTGTTTTAAGACTTCGTGCATTGATGTTCATAAAGTATTAGGGCCTTAAAGAGCAGATGTTTATGATAAATTTCAAGAAAATATACATTTATTTTCCCAATTAACTGGTAAAATGCATTTTTTTCTTTTTTTGCGCCAACTGGCGGGTCAATACTGAGCAGTTTTAGTCAATTAACTGGTCATGATAACTGATTTCTGAACTATGATCAACTATGTTAGTATCCCTTGTGCTGATTAACTGACAAGCAATTAACAATCTCTTATTTTTCTGTGATTTCTTTTAAAAATATTGTTACATTTAACCTGATTGATGTTCCTTTTCACTTGGTCTCCTGTGGTTTAATCCCTTTGGTTACAACTAAAACACTTATTTCTTGGGTAAATGCTATTATAATATGGATGACGTGTAATTTAATCGGCAGGGACCTGGCYGGCTTTATTACCCAGTCTGACAATGATGAGGCCCCCTCACATTCCTGAGCCTCTGTTTTCCTCCTTGTGGTTTGTTTGTCTTGTGTAATTGCAGCATCTCTGGAGCAGACTTGGCCTTATACAATAGGTGTTGTTGAGCCAAGGCAGGGCTTTACTTCAGCTAAAACCTATAATAAGACCCTAGGGTAGAATCATTATTAGATTTTAAGTTCAAACCGGAAATCAAGGTTCCTCACATATGACTTTTTAATATGGAATCACTGCAAGTTTAGCAGCAAAAGCATCAGAGTGTTCAAAGGACCTAAGCTAAATTCTTTGATATTAGCAACACAGACTTGACACTCCAGAGAAGCAGTTGTGGTCATGTCCCCACATGTCCGTGGGAAAGGTGTCTTGCCAAGTCAGAATGTCAAAACTTGTCCTTGGTGGCTATAGTAGTCAAGGCTCTCTCCAACTGTTAGCCTTTTTAAAGGTTGTTTCATTGTTTATGGGATAATAATGAAGGAAATTTCATCTGATATAAAAATAATTGAATTTTTAGATAGAAGGCTGCTGTCAAGTATTCAGCACCAAAAGCATTACTCCTTTAGTCCCAGCTATACTAGGCCAGGCATTTGTTGTGTATTTCAGATGTCAGGTTTCCAAATGCCCTTTCTATAAACAAAAAAAAAAAAAAAAGTAAATAAAGTATCTTAGAAGCATATCAATATCAATGAACCAGATACAGGGTTATATTCAAGTTAAATTTTCAGTTGTAGAGCACAAAATCTTCTGGGTGAGAAAGTAGATGTTGATGTCATTAAAGCCTATAAACAACCCCAAAGAAGTCGGAAGAATGTAATACAATGAACTCAAAAGGTTGTCATTTTCTAGTCTTTAGGCTATTGTGACAATTTATCACCAATGAAGCCCTGTCAGCTGGATCTTGCTATGTGGAATGAAGTGGCACACTTGCATTTTGAAATGTCTTTAGTGTAGCCTTASTTTGAGCACATAGCTGTTTTGATTAAATGTGTATTGACTTAGTGTTTTAAGCAAAAAGGTTAAAAAGAGGCTTAAAACTGTTTGCAGTTTGACTCTAGATCGAGGAAGTGGACAGGGTTGTCAGACACAAATGTTAATGGGTGCTCATGATCAAGCTGTGTGAAATCTGTGTTATGTTGTTTGCACCTGATTTGTATGTATGTATTTTAGCCTCCATATGTTTGACAGTCACAGGGGCAACACTTTTGCTGTCCTTGTCTATCCTCATCCTGAAATCATTGTCATCCTTGTCATCCTGAAATGTGGTAAACAACTTGTCTGCTATCTTCCTTGGGTTGGTGGGTCTGTTAACTTCTCCCCGGGGATAGAAGCCTAATGAATTACTTGTTTGGAGGCCATCTAACCCAACCTCCCTCTTGGAGTGGGATTGTTACCAACAGCGAGTCACTGTTTTGTCTCACCTCCAGAGCAGAGATGCTACAGCCTGTCTGGACATCCAGGTCCAGCAATGCATTGGTTTTCCAGGGGAAGTGTTTTGTTCCTGGTGTGCAGCCTGAAGCTTCCAAGCCACAGTTTGGCCCTTGTCCTATTGTCTTGCATTAGGTAGCACAGTTTGGCTCCATCATCTTTGGAACCCCGTTTTGAACAGTTGCAGGTTGCTAGCAGGTTCCCCACAGCCTTCACTTTTCTGGCTGATCAAGCCCTGCCTCTCTCTGTACGTCCTAGGGGCTTTGCTCCCTACCTTTCTTGCTCTCTGCTAGACCCTCCCCAGTTTCTCCAGTTCTGCCTTGACTTAGGGTCACCACAAATGTGCGCAGTGGTCCAAACGGGCCTCACCACTGCTGTGTATATAAACAGATGTGTAAGAAGTGTATCCCAAGCTATTTTTATGTGATAGAAGAGCAAAAAAGCCCCTTCCCTTTAGAAAGAAGGTGATGGATTGTGAACTTGCTTTGTAGTTCTAATTTAAAGAAATTCTACAAATTCAGTTAAGGCTGAATTGTCCCTTTCTCAAGAAGGTTTACCTGAATTCTGGAAAATTCCAATGTTCCAGAGAGCCTGGATAGTTAAATATACTCCCCAGTATATTTGTCAAACTTTTAGTAACACTAAGCTACTTGAAGGTAAGGACTATAAATTCAAGAAGGGGAGAAACAGATCCTTACTGCTGCAAATAAACCAAACTTCATGGAGTTCAGTGGCTGTCCTGTGATTTACAGTGAAAATAACACTTGCAGGCTTTGCTCTCAGATTTTGAGAATTCTCAGAAAAACAAAACAAAATATTTTTTAATCAATATTTAAGGAACTCCTGTAGCATATGTGTTGCTAAAATGCATAAATTAATGCTAGTAAAAAGTCAGAATGAAGCAGTCCCACCAATTATAAGAGCTCACACTGAGAAAGGTTTAAGTATCCCCATGCATAAAGTGTGTATTAGCATTCAGATTTTCTTGTCCTGTGGTATAAAGTTTGCATGCTGAAGAACTATAGTGATGAGATAGAAGTATTTGACCTTACTAGGTGTGTTGGCTTTCCCTCTGGGCGTCTCACTCTGTCTTTATTATACAGCCCATTTATTACTTAGGCTTGAATTCTATTTATTAGAGGGACACCAAGGTTAGGTTCGTTCTGCCATTTGTAAGATGGTGTTATTACACGAAATAAGTTGACCAGGGAGATTGGGAAGAAAACTCTCCCTTCCCCTCCCTGCTCCCGTCACACACACTGCCATTAAATACAGAACCTTTCAGAGCAGATCATTGCTTGTTTGATGCAGGGGATGGAAATTCTCATTTCAATCAGGTAGTGAACCTTCACAGGAAGGTATGATCAGGAGGAATGGGAGAGACCTTGAGATATCAAAACAAGCCTTTAAATAATAAACACACTTCAAGCCCAGGCCTTATCCTGCATATAAAGAATGTGAACAATAAGCCATTTCATGTAAGAGATGCTTATAGGGCTATTTTACATGCAACATAGAACTGGCCCCTTTTGTACTCTTATATAAGGTGTATTTTCATCACGAATCCAAATAGTTTCTCTTCTCATGAATCCAAAACAGGATTTGTAGTTTTAGTCCCATATTTTGGCACGGAAAATTGACACCTTTTTGACACTGCTGGCATAATAATGGTAGAAAGTATCTAGACACTATGAATCTTCCTCAGTTCCCTTCCTAGGTTTTGTCTGTCCTTTCTGTTTCCAGGCCAGCCATTTCAAAGTGCAGAAATGCAGAGAAGCATCCCCAAATCTGTTCTCTTTGCTTTCTGGGTGAAATCCTGCTTTCAGAGGAATCCAGGAGGGACTTGCTATTGTCTTCAGAGTGGTGTTGGACTGTTGTCTAGGTGTTGTCATCTTGGACAATCCTTGAGCATGTAAGTACAGATTCTCCTATGCACCACGTAAARTAGGAAGCAGTTGTATGGCCAAGCAAAATAAGATCTTGTTTCTTAATTTTATTGCATACCCTTCAAACTATGTAGAAGGAAAAATAACTTATGTCCCGTGTATTGGCCCAGGCCCTTTTTTTTTTCTCTTCAAAACATTACTCCTGTAAGTAAAAGCACAAAAGTTATGTATGTGAGCAACACACTGCAACAGGAGTGTCAACTGGAACTGGTGAACTGGAAGTCTGAACTGAATGTGATGGTGTAACTATTACGGTAAGTCRCAGCAAAAAACAATTCCTGACTAACATTAGGTGGGTTTTAAGACACAACATAGGTATAGTTTTGGAGATTTAAATGTTGATCAGGAATGCCTGTACCCCAAGGCAATGCAGGAATGACSTGAGGAACTTGTCCTTCACACGGAAGGAAATACAAATTGGATGACAAGGTCAGCATTAATCAAGTATATAAGTACAGGTTCATGGAATATTGATCTGGAAAAGGAATAAAGGAACAGCAAGAATAGGCTTTGAAAGTTCATATGAAGAGATTTTTGGTATATTAAATGTAAAGAAGGATGATAARCAGGAGGTACTATGGCTGAGGTAGTTGGTCCATGCAGTGGATACTTTTGCAGCAACATTTGCATTGGATTGAAAGGGAAATGGGATTATCAAAGCCAGTAAGGAAGAGGTTCCATTATCGAGGTAGGTTGCTGCGCTATCCTGTTGGCTGTGGGTCAGGTTTTATTATCCATGATAAGCAATGGCTATTGGAGGAATTCCAGGTTGGTGCTTCTGTAATTTCAGCTGAGCAGTAAAAAGCTCATATATAAGCTCATATATAAAAGCTCAATAAGGCAAAGAAATCGTTTAAATCTTGAAGGCTGGCAATACAAGACTGACAGAAAACAGGATATTCACACTGCTTAACTTTTAGACTTTGAAGTCCCTGCTAGGCAATGAGGCTCTCTGAGAATCAGCAGTCATCTATAGGTTCCTTCCAGTGATAATTCTGAGACCCCTTTCTGGTAGAAATCTTTTTTTTTTTTTTTTTTCTTAAAACACAACCCTCCCAATCTCTAGTTTAGACGTTATCTATAGTTGTGGGTTTTTTCTTTTTTTTTTTTTTGCTCAGATATAAGATATTACTGCCTATGTTTCCCCTGAGTGTGATAGAAAAGAGGTGAATTGCAACATGCGTTTTGCTTTACTAAATTAGTAGGATGGCTGCAGAAACAAGTTTTATTGGGAGTGTCAGACATACCGATTTGCCAGACTGAACAGAAAGCCACACAAATAAATATATGAATGGCATACACTGAAGAGTGAAATAAGACACAGAAAATATTTCCCTCCTGGCTATTTTTGGGGAATTAACGTTGTTCCTTCAGATGATGTTCTGCGGGATGCATTCTTCTCAGTGACATGAAATAGTTTATTRGCATAAACTATTTCATTTTACTAATCTGGCTTCACACCAGAGCAATTGAGAGCAGAATTTGGACTTGTACAATGTTGAATGTTATTCATTAAAATTTAATGAATAACAACTCTTTACAGTCCCCCAACACTGCAATTAAATGGAAGATCATCAGACTACCATCTTTCTATGAGTTTTTCTCTTACTAGCAATTTAATTAGTTATACAAAGAGGAATTCTCTATTAGTGAAGCCTGAGAAAAGCAGCAACCTGGTGGTTAGAATCTTTTTGTGGTGTGCAAAAATATTTGACTCCAGTGCGAAGCACATTGTTTTAGAAACAGCTGTTGGTGTGAAAAGGAATTTTTGAGGATCTAATTTATTCAGCACAACTTTTAAATATTATATAAAGGTGGTTTTGTTTTCGATGTGGCCTTAGTAAGTGGAGTTGTTTGTTGTAATGCACCTGACTTTTTGAATTAAGCTAGATTTGTGTAGATCTAATTTCACCTTTATAAGTCAGCTAAGAACTGCAAAACAAAGAGTATTTTCATATAAGATCACATGGTGAGACACATTACCATATGTTTAGGAAGGGAACAGAACAGGGAGAGTCATTTGATCGCCTTACTGCATATAAGCTTTAAAAAGTGGATTTTCAGCACTGGAAGAGCTGAGCCCTTTGAACTTGCGAGACTGGGAAAAGCCCCTTTTATTAAGAAAAATAATCCCTTTTTGATTGTATTGCAGAATCCCAACCCTCACAGTTTCCTACTCTGTCCTCTTTCTCCTCTTTCTAAGTATTTCCTGTGGAATTAAAACACACAAAATAATGAACAGCCTTATGGGAATCTGTGTGGTAAGTTCAAGGGACCAGAATCTGGTCCCTTGAATTCCATTGCTGGGCTTAGTACACTAGTTTCTAAGGAGGCCTTCAGTGTGACTTTCTACAGCAAGGTAGCACACCACATCAGCTCTGGGAATACCAGGGGAAACAAATATTGTCCTGAAAAAATGGGCAGCTGGACTACGTATTCAGCAGGCCAGTGTCAGGGAAAAGGCTGACCTGGGAGGGTGACGGAAGGAAAATTTTATTTTCTTTTCCTTTATCTGCATTTGTTTTAAAGCATTTGTTTTTTTTCTCATTAGTATTACTTGAAACCCAGAAACTAGAATGCTCAACATTAATGCAGCAGCCAAAAAAAGAATTAGTTTAGCTCAAGGAACAAGAAATAYGACACCATTATTTTGGAGGTGTAGAAAACATATTGAAGAATAATGAATGCAGAACCAGGTATTTTCAGAACAAAGAAAGGCTCTCTGCCCTAGTATCAAGCAACAAGAGTGTTCTGTAACATGCTTTGCAAAGGCTCATATTCAGAATACATAAAMCTCTGTGATGCTGCATTTGAGATTAATTGCAGCATTTCTTTTTCTATGGAAATTTTCCATTTGGAACATCATACTGTTAAAATGTGTAACTGATATTATTAAAATGTGTCTGGTAATGTAAAATAATAATTACATAGTAAAAAGTTCAAATTAACTTTAATTTTTCTGTTTTTTTTATTTGGCTCCTAGAGATGGGGAGAAAAAAAAAATCAATTTTCTTGAGCTATCAGTGAACTAGGCTCCTTTTTGACTACCTTCAGGAGCACAGAATTGTAAAAGCTGTCCTATTAATAAGATATAAGTCCAGCAAATTGAAAGTGGTTTTTTGCATTGCTATTAAATCATTTTATTAATTAATCTAATGGCAACTTTCATCAGAAAGGCAGGATTGGGTCCTCATGCTTTGGCATGCAGTAGGCAAAGCACAGCTCTCAATTGKTTGCTTATCGTGTTAATTGTTAAAGATGGTATCTCCAATTAKTAGTGCACAAGTAGCTCTCACTTAGTAATTCATGTTAGAATTCATGTGTGCATAAGGCTCGGAGTAGTTTTGGAATGGATTCCAGTACCATCAAGGACATTTCCAAGAGTGCTTCTAGACTGTTCAGTGAACCAACTATCGTGTTGAAGCAAAATTTGCTTTCTCATTGACAAATAAGAASAGTTTTCACGGTGTTGGTATTTTATCTTGTTTGAGTGAGCTATTTTAATGAAGCACACAACGTATCTGGTAATTTTTCTACCAACTCATGTTCATCCCCATGCTCTGATGTGGCCTGTGCTTTCCTGTCCTGTTCTGCTGTGATGCCTGCTGTTTTGCTGAATCTCTGCAGCAAATGTCTACATGAGCAGATCAAAGCTAAATCTTGGCTTTCGTTGCTTCTCTGTGGTTTCTGATGCTTATTCTAATCCTACTTAAACTAAGTGGTCAGAGATTTGGGAGATTTGAAATACAAAATAGATTTTAACCTTGAAATGGATTAGGGTTGTCAGATGACACAGAACTGTCATGTAGAACTAATGTTATGAAAACAAGAGCTGAAAATGCTGCTTTAGTGCAGCTGACAATGGGGATTTATCCTAAAAGAGATGTGCATGTGCTTCATTTAAAAAAAAAAAAAAAAGTCTCCTGAGTGAATATGTAGCCTGAATGCCTTGCAAGGTTATTGATTATGTATCTTAAGTCAGAGATACAGCTTTTTCTCCAGGAGATTTGTTTTCTCATCCAGTAAACACAGCAGTTTTCAGAACATGGATACTCTGTTTACTGTTTCACAAAAGCAATTTTTTTTCTCATGTGATAAGGAGAGGATTAACTTATAATTATATATCTCTGAATTGTACTTCAAGAAGCATGCTTGTCTTGGAAGTTATTTTCAAACAATAATGAAGCTTTGTAGCTAAAACTCATTAGCCTGATCCAAGGGGGCAACGTTCAAAGGATCTCAAAGGGGAGCTGACACTGCATTTGCTCTCGTCTCTCTTGGAGGACGAAGACACYTTGGCAGTATAAGTTATGAGTCTAATTTATGGTTGAATTAAATGCCAGACAGAGCTTTGCGGCCAGATCTTGTGTGGCTGGTCAGTAGAGACCATAATAAGGGGAAGAAAAGACATGTGAATATTTCAACAAATATTTCTGGTACTGTTTTTTCGGTTATCAAAATAAATAGAATATATGTGGCGTCTAGACCATAGAAATGTCTTTAGGGCCAATAGTCATGAGATGTTGTTCTTCAGAGCACAAATAAGTGGGTTAGCTATGTCCTCACCAAATGGAAATCAGTATCCCATCCTTGATGTCCTGCTTTCCTCTGGGCTTTAGCAGTTGTTGTTTTCCTTGTTAACCTCCTTGGAAGTGAGAAGCTGGCTCAGCAGCTAATGGCACTGGGCAGCCCAGTGCTCCCCAGCCCTGGCCCAGGTTGTGCCCTGGCACCTGCGAGCCTGTTAAACTTCACAGACGCACCACAAGCGTGGTCTCCTTCCCACAGACCATACAACACGTGTTATTCAGCCCATCTCCACTGTTGGATTCCCAGGCATCCCAGAAGGTGAATGTGGGAAGTGGGTGCAGGGAGGGGGTGTCCAGCCCTGAACTAGTTCTCTCAGCACCCATCTGTCATCTGCCTGGAATGCAGATAGTTCCCAGGTTTTACTCTGCTCTTAAAAATGGTGTGAGGAAGCATGAAGCTGCACTCCATGAAGCACCCTGCTGCTTCAGCAACTGTGAAGTAACTGAAGGAAAGAACCTTTGCCTTTCCTGTGCAGGCACGTCCAGCCCCTGCACCTCTGCTCGTACTTGCCACTTTCTGTAATGGATGTGCATTTTTGTCCAAATTAGCTCTTTTCTGAGWGCTGAAATCGAAGATAGCTGTTTCTTGATGTCGAAGAATGAAACCAATCTGCAACTGACCTTTTGTTCTAGAAGCATTATTGTGGTGGAGAATAAAATCCAGTCTGTGCTTTTTTAATATGGCTTTCTTTTCAAGAACCAGATCAAATAAAATGTGACAAACCAATATTTACACAGGGAGTTTCCATGCATTTTGTGTGCAGTTTTAAGGAACAGCAGCAATATGGTCTTTTTTTTTCAGGCTAGTTACTGCTGTATATGTGGGATTGGAAAGCAGATGGATGTGCAAAAAGTATCCCAAGAAGAGACTGCTTACCTGAACCAAAACTATGAACTTCCTACCAGAGAGAATGTTCATCTCCAGTTTGATTGAGGAGAGTTGGCAGAAGCAGCACCTGGAGACCAGATGGACTCTGCATACCCACAGGTGTCCTTTCCCAAACAGGTGCACAAATGTTTACAGCTGCAGCCTCAGGATTAGAGCATCTGCCTGCCTGTCCTCTCCTAGGAAAGGGGAGGAGGGACAGGGTGGAGATGCGGATCTCACTGTCACATCACATCCTTGGTGTGGGAGCACCGGGCACTGCGGAGCTAGCTRTTGCGAGGGCTCTGCACTTCACTAGGTTTCACTAGGCTTGGTGGCTGATGGGAGAATGGAAGATAAAAAGGCAAAATATGTAAGAGAATATATGGGTAAATTATTTGGAAATTTATTTCCAGGAATTGTCTTGTTCACAGAATACATTTAGAGATGGAACTAACACTTCTTTGATTGTGGTCTTCTCTTTCTCTGTGTTCWTGTTGGAATTTGCTAACTGGTGTCAAATGATACCGCTTCGGYTTGAGGGCTCTGGGGCCATCCACCCCGAGGACACAAAGCACTGACACCAATGTGATGGTATGCTAAGTGACGTTTATTGCTTGCTTCACGCATCCTTTATAGTTTCCCCTCTTGTGGAAGCGTTGCAGGCTATGCCCAAGCCCCAATCAAAAGCGTAGCCTGGCAGTATGCCCTTATTTGGCAGCGCTAGAGACACGTCCCTATTCTTTCCGTGACATCRCGAGATCTTCTGAGCGCCCTGTCTTATACTGAGTCATGTCTTATGCCATGTCACTTACCTATGCTAAGCTCCCTACAGTTCTTTATTGATGTTTCCTTTTGGATGAATAAACAGTGTGTTGGAAATATTTTACCTGCCTGCACTTATGCCTCCTTATTTCCTGGTGCAAATCTGTATGATGAATCCCTACCAAATCATATCGAGTAAGTGACAGTGCTGAAAAGACTACTACCTTTATTGATCCTACTGCTCTTCTCCACCAGACTAGAGGAACAAAAAGGATTTAAATCATGTTTGCTAACACATTAATATCCTCTAAGCATCTGTTATCACCTTGTGGACAAAGAAAATCATGTTGGAATAGATGTAATGTCGTCATGCTCAATTAGACAGGAGACCAGACACTTCCCAATTTAATATATACTTTAACTGAGAATGAAACACAAGAGTAAGAAATACCAGTGTGGTGAAGCTATTCAGATTTATTTTAGGATGACAAAATCCCTGTGAGCTTTCCTGACAGTCAGGGATGCAGGACCAAACACCATGTCCTCTGAGAATCTGGTCAAGCTGTTGATACTTCAGGCTTTTATTTCTTCATTTTCAAGTTCAAATAATAACAGCTTTCAAGCAAGATTGGACTGCTCAAATGCTAATTGCTCTTTGTGTACTTGGAAATTAGACCATCAGTGAAGACTTTTTTTTAAGCGTCACAGAAGTCAGTGGAGATTCCTGTTGGCCATCTGGAAACAAACAAAAGCCCATATTATGAAGCAGACCTCCCTAAAAATGGGTGATTTGAACTAAACTTGTGAATAACATGCCCTTTTCCTGCGTCAGGATGCATCTGCGAGCAGTTCTGAGAGAGAAGAGGATATACTTGGCAGATATTTTCTCCATAACATGTCCTTCAATTAACTCTATCTCTGTTTATAAAGATTAATTAGCAAGTTGCTTTGAGTGTGGAAAGCTTGGTAGAAGTACTAGACATTGCTAATAGTTGCAGGTAAAATTTTATTTTGCTGCAACACATTATTTTTCTTCTTCTCYAAGAAATAGCTAGAGTGATATACACACATTCTGTAATTCAAGTTACCTTATGCTTGATACAGGATCTACCTCCTTGCTTTAGTTTGAGGGCAAGGCTTGCAGGGACTTTAATATTATAGGATTGAGCCTTAGATGGAAATAGCCCTATAAAGGGAAATACCAGATGTTAGGTTTCATGCTTTTTGAATTACCAGCATAGCTTTTGATGCCTTTTAATACATTTTTAAATAACAATATTTGAAATGTATACATGGCTAAAATCTCAATGTCAGCATTTTTTTTGGTCAACTGGTACTTCTTAGATTTTTTTTTTTGTTGTTGTTGTTTTTTAAATGAAACTGACTAATATGGCAGGTACTTAGTCTGGAAAGAGTTTGATTAAGAAAAGTGCAGTATGAAACAGTTTTAAAGGAAAACCTGTATCATACTGTGTGGATTACTGATCTATAAAAGTAGTAAGATACAATACCTTAGGACAAAGCAGTTAAAACAAAGTACTGGAATTCCAGTGAATACTTTTTAAAACTAAATTCTCCTTGGGGAAAAATAGGGAGGGAAGGAGTTGCGCCACAGGAGGAAGACAGATCTAAATTATCAAAATATACTATAAATAAACCCAGCAACATATGACTTCTGAGTAAGAGGTTTTTTTAACTGAGCTTAAACAAGGTTTGTTTAACTGAGCTTATTTCATGGAGAGAAAAAAATCATTTGAATTCATGTTGGTCTCCTGTTTTTTACAATTGGATTATAATCTGAAAGCTGAGAGTGAAGTCGAAACAAAAAGTTTCAAACAAAATCGTAGGAACCTTTCAATGTAATTCAGTTAAAATTTTGCTTCAGTAAGCTAACTACAGCCATCTTTGTTGCATCATATTATCAGGAACATATGTAAGAACAACACTTAACAGTATTCTAGTGTATAAAATAGTACTGATGATCTAAACATAGCGGACAGTCATAATTTAACATGTGCAGTTTGCTTATATTARAAGTAGCATAGACACGTTGCTCGTATTTTGCAAGGAGGTAAGGTTAAAAAGAAAGGTAAGATATGTGTTTATGCCGGGGATGATGGCAGTGTTGTGGTCCTGTGGTTGCTCTTGATGCTGGATTGAGGCTAAGTACCTAAGTGGCTTTCTGGTTTTACGGTCCATCTAAAGTCGTCTTAGTTTCCTCTTAAAAAGTTGCTTCCATTAAATATCCTAACACCAACATTGTATCACAATACTTGATCCACGAGTTACAAACTCACAGTATTTCCTTGTAGAAAGCAAATTGCAAAGGGAGTTCTGTAGAAGAAAAACTGATTTAAAGACCACCATTTCCTTTTTGGGTATTGTGCATGTGTGTTTGTGTAATAAGAATAAAGACCATTTCCTTTCTTTTTCCATATACCCTACTATAACCCTTTTTCCATATGCCCTACACTATCTCCTCATTTTTGAACCTTACTCAACATTTTTTTTTTAATTTTTTTCCCTACATATACTTGTCTTGGTTTTCCACCTCACTATTTTAATGGATGCATATTTGGTATTAATAGCTCACAAATGATTAATGGATTATATTTTAAGAGATAAATAACAGAGAGGCAATTAGAAAAGTCATGATAGATTGTCTTTTCCACAAATCAAACAACACTTGCTTTATGCACTGTGCATTGCTAATGAAAAGGAGTATTGTACTGGGAGAAAAATGGGTATCAATTCACCTATATCAGAAGAAGGTGCCTGAAATAAATGCCTATGCAAAGACTTTTTCAGTACATTTTAAGACACAGGCATGATTGCATTGCTTAGAAGAACCAAACGATATTCACAGATAAGGGCAAATAAAAGAAATTTGATTGTCATARGGGCAGATGTTGACTTGGAGCTGTGAAGCATGTAGGTCCTTTTTGCATGTTAGGCACGTTGTTCCAGGAGCAGTAAGAGACTGCTGAAGGAGTCAGTATCCCAGGTCTAAGTCATCCTGGCTGTCTTACAGCAAACCCGGATACATCTGGTAGAATCACAGCCTCTCTCTGCGGTGTACAAGTAAGTTGGAGTAGGACATATGAAGCCTGTATCCTATAGCAGCTCTCTAAGTGGAAGTTAAAAGTACACTTTAAAGATATTAAGCCCTGTGTTTTTCCAACTTGCTGTCCATGGCCACAAGGATAGCTATGGGAAGAAATACTCAAGTTCTTTCCAGCCTCCTGCCTTGGCATCCTTCAAGAGCAAACCAAGACACATGAACATTCTCATGAGAATAGATAAATATTGTACTATCTTATTTTCTTGACACAATCTTTGTTATATGAATGAGGCAGTAACTCTTAACATCTTGTGCTTTCTGTGAATTATAGGAGTCTGCTGTTAAGTTTTTGGCCTTTTACATAGCAGGCTATTTTCAATAGATAGCCATTCCACTTCATTTTATCAGCTCCACCTGATTTGTGAGGTAGGGACAGGCATGTTCAAGTACAAACAGTTAAGAATACTTAAACTTTCTGAAAGACTGCAAAGCACAGGATGATATTTTGCAAGCGATATTCAGCATTAGCATCCTTGTATTTAACAGATAAGAAAACAGAAAATCAGGCAAGCAGAAATGYATGCTCATAGTAACAATAGAAAGCCACATATATCTAAAGTAGCTTTGTTAGGGAGCTGAAGCAAGTAATCTTGACTCCTAGATGATAATTATATATAAAGGTACTGTCTTGTAAATGTAAATATAATCAGTGTTGCATTCCACTTGAGTTACCTTTAACGATAATACAAAGATGTGTATGACCTACTTCAAATCCCCAGCCCCCCAACCAAACAGGTCTGATTTCAATGAATAACTTAAAAAACAAGGACCAGCATCTAGCCCTTAATAACAAGATTTAATATTACTAATGTACAGATATTGGCCCTACTGGCTAATACTATGGCAAAAAAAATACCTACCTGTCATCATTTGTAAATAAATTAAGGACCCAAATATCAAAAGTGATACAAAATCTGTTTCAGAAAAAAAAATGGTAGAGGAGCATAGAGAAACCTAAAACAAATTGACCCGAACCAAAAATTTTGAGAGATTCATTAAAAATCTCTGTAGCAGACAATTCTTGTGTATTTGTGTATATTACCTACGCACAGCTGTATCTATTTCCAAATTAACAGATGAGTACAAGAAACAAAAGCAGCTTGTATTTTTAGCTGTTTTTTTCCACAGCTTGATAAAGCTGACAAAGTATACAGAGACACTGCTGCAAATAAAACTACTTGAACTTCCTTTTGATGGTATTTACTACTTTACCTAATTCATCCGCTTACATGGTTGCTGTAACTATACTTTCTGTGTTTTTATTTGGTGTGTAGAAATACTCATGCCATTGAAATTTTATTCTCTGTAACTTATAGCACAAGGAGCTAAAAATATTTATGCAAATTGAACTGCAGATGTGCACACAATGGAAACTTTCAAACCAAAAAGTCACCTTGTCAAATCCTTTTGGGGTTTATGGCCATGCTTCACTGTTGCTTTATCATTTTAGGCCGCTAACTACAGACTACAAGTAAAGAATTAGAAGCAGAAGA